ATCCACGGGCCCGAGCGTTAAAGAACTCCCATATATATTTACGGCATCATCATCTGCTTAGCAATGATAGAGCAGCAAAGGCAGAAGCAAGGCCGGAAGGGTCTGTGTGTGTGTGTGTGTGTGTGTGTGTGTCTGTGTGTGTCTGTGTGTGTAAAAGCATCCCAGAGTGCTTCACTGATAACCCACGCATTGCCTCCATCGAGGGAGCTGAAGTGCCTTGGATACAACATAGATCAACGAAGCCCCCGCCTACTCCCAGAGCGTGAGCATCATTGCGCTTCTTTGTGTTGCCTAGTTTACCTGCCCCCTTCTCTACTTCAGGGGACACTCCCGAGAAATGTGTCCTGTCTTGCCGCATATGTGGCAGAGGTCGCTTGCGTACGGCCGCGGCGACCTGGAGCGATCCCTGCCGCGCTCCTTAGAGCGGTCCCGCTTACGGTCATTTCCGCTGCTACGGTCATCCTTTTTTTCCAGTAACTGTCCTGCTCTCGCTCCAGCCTTGACATCAGCTTGCGGGAAACTTTAATAATGTGCAGGTAGTTGCACTGTGTTCCGCGTCCACACTTCCCCTCCAGGTCCTCCTTGCAGCAGGCGTCGGCGAAGTTGATGACAGGGCTCAGCTCAGGCAGAAGAATAATCTCGTTTAACTTCTTCGCCTTTAGTTCCCGCGCGATGTGGGAGGCGTCGGCGGGGTCTTCAAAGCGGATGTACACGTTCCCGAGGAGGTGGTCCCCAAGGTTGCTCACGACACGCAACTCCGCGATCCGGCCTAGTTCCATGAAGATGCGCCACGTTTCCTTGTAAAAGCGCTTAAAATGCCGCTTTAAATATTTGCGATCGAACTGGAAGTCCCATTGGCGATCCTGGATGTGCTCAATTGCCATCGGGTTCGGGTACATCATCGGAAAGAGAACGGTCGGAGACGCCGTTGGGCGCACATGGACCTTCGTGCAGTGATCCCCGTGGCGGCAGGCGCCCATCTTGGAAAAGAAAATGCAACGATCCTGGTACATGGCTCAAACAATAACAGAACCGCACCTCCGAGAAAAGATAGAAAAATTCTGAAGATGACTATATAGTTAAGTCCCTTTTTTTGGCGTTGTTGTTGCGTTCGCTTAAGTTCTAGCGCGTGCCGTCGCCGACTGGTGTAGCCGCCGATTCTCCGTACCTAATATATATATATTATCGCTTTTCCCTTTGGATGGGCGCCGCACTTTCTCTGCACACCCTCTCCCTCTCTAATGCCGTGTCGGTGGGGGAACGTCGATTACGCCGCGGCCGCTCCTCGCACTGTTGGTGTTGCCTGTCTGCCTACCTCCCCGTTTGTGGCGCGCGGGGGCGAAGTTTATATATATATGTATATATATGCAATAAAAAGTAGTAATAACAACAACAACAACAACAAGTGTGTGCGGAGAGTTCACAGGTGTTGCTGGTTTGCTTCGTTGGCGTGTGTTAGCTCGCAGGTGTTGACTAGCGGGGAAATTGGGGTTTGTGTGGGAAAGGAATGAGGGAAGAGGAAATCGCAGAGGGCCACGCGGGACGCCACGCCCACCGCCGAGAAGGTAGGCGTGCAGCGAGGCAGAAGAGAGAAAAAAAAAGACAAGGAGAAAAAAAGAAGAACGAAGGAAAAATAGAAAGACGTACTTCTCCTTCTTGTCACTTCCTTCACTTGGCACTTTACTTCACTTACCCGGAGAGCGCTGCCGCGTCTCCGTCCGTCACCGCATCGACCGCCTTCCTTCGCTAAGACGCTTATTCTGCGGAGGCAACTCACAAGAAACAGAGGCAGCAACGCAAAACAAAAAGTGGGAGGAGCGGAGTGAGAGGGCAAGTGGGCCACAAAAAAAAGCAAATAAAAAATAATAATAGTAGTAATAATAAAGACTACCTGGAATGTTTGAGGCCGAGCAGCCTCAAGAGTCATCGCCCGCCACCTTTCCGACGCATCTTCCTCTCTCCCTTACTCTATCGCGCGCTCTCTCTCTCTCTCTCAGAAGGTGCATGCATTCATGCATGCGTGTTTCCCCAGCCTCCTTTTCCGCGCCACACCCCCTGCAGAGAAAACTGCGTACGGCGTGTGTTGGAGGTAGGAGTACAGGGAAGTGGAAACACAACAACGACAACGGCCTCTATGAAACGCTCCCAAGCACTCTCACTCGTCGTATGACACCACAGAGAGCTCAGCTTCGGAGTCAACAAGGGCATCATGATCATCGGCGTGCGTGTACAACGGCGCCGCCGCGTCACTGCATTCTGTGACGGCGTCCACACGACGCATCACATCGCTGGAGACGACATTACGGTCGTATGAAAACCCCGAGCGCGGGCAAAGTGTGTGACCGTAACTGACGTGGCGACCCAGTGTTTTCAGAGCACTGCGTAGCGCGGTGTCGACAAGGGCGTGGAGGCGTTGCCGCTTAGGCTCCAGTCGCTTGGTGCAGCGAAAGAAGTCCTGCACCGCCAAACGCGCCGGCTGCAGCGCCGCCATCGTCTTTGTGTGCCACCAATCTGCCTCCATCGCCTCCAGCGCTGCATCACACTGACACCAGATGTACGGCACGTCACAGAACGTCGCACACGACCGCGTGTAGCAGCGGGTCGCGGCACAACCCTCACTCTTCCCCAACATAAGAACGGGGTCCTGCTCCCGTGTTGAGGGCCTTCCTGCGACGGCACACAAGAGACGCCCGGTGTGGCCGTGCACCACCGTCACAAGCGAATACGCCGCGGCGCACAACATAACCTCTGAAAACTCAAGCGCCTCCACGAGCCGGCGGAACACCGCGTCCTTCACACAATCTTGTTTGCTGCCGTCAAATACATAAAGCACAAGTTCCTTGCCCGATGACTCATGCACCATGGCACAGACCTCTCCAGCGGTGCACCTACGCGTGCTCTCCCTCACAGCTTGCCCCCGTCGCTTTGGCAGGGCAAGCCCTTCCAACGCCTTTCCAAGCTGCGCAGAGGCAAGCCATGCGTCGCGGTCATCCGCGCGCAGCCTCCCCGTCTTACTCGCACCACTATTACCGGAGGAGAGTGCGGTGCAGCAGCGCTCATGTAGCCGAATGTCCTCCGTCGCCGTGAAGTTAAACAGCATTCCACATAGGCCACAGGTCATCACTCCACCTGCATTGCGTTGGCCAAAGTCTAAAGAAGTTTGCACCGCGGCCTGCGGGTGTCGGGCGGCAAGTTGCGTCCGCCGCGGTGTGTCCGAGGAGCGCAACGAAGTGGGAGAAAAACTCGCTGCGCCGCCGCCGATCTTCTTCTTCGCGTCTGCCTGTGAAGCTGCGACGCGGGCAGAATCGCCAGACACAGCCCGAGCAAGCGTTGCTTTGCTTGTTGCTAACGCCAGTGGCGGGGAACCGTCTCTATCGTGGTATTCCGACTCCAAAGCAGCAGCAACCGCCGGCGCGGCCGCCCTTTCCTTTGGAAGGAATTCGAGGAGGCTCCGCTGGCGCTTCATTGCTGTGTGGTGGCGATTTTGTTAGTGCTTGTGTGTCTCTTTCCCCCCTTCATGCGCCTACGCGAGGAGGGAAGGCGCAAGACAACAGCGAATGTCCTTGCAACCAGCAGTCGAGCAGAGGCAACGGAAAGTGAAATGAAGCGCGTGTGCGCAGCCAGAAGAGAGTACAAGAAAAGAAAATAAAAAAGTCTCCTGCAAAAAAAAGAAGAAGAAGAAGAGATAAAGACTTATCTTCACTCTACAGTTGAAGTTCAATATTAAATGGCGTGAATGTCTCTCCTGAACAGGAGGAGAAGCTACACGCACGCACACATACAGAGAGAGAGAGAGGAGCGGAGAGGCAGGCATGCGCCTCTCGCCACCTTTCAGCGTAGCTGCTTGAGAACAACTTCACGGTACTCGCCGAAGTCCCCGTCGAAGCGCTTGATGCTATTGTCGGCGCACACGTACATCTCATCACAGAGCGAAGTAATAAAATGCTCGTCGTGGGAAATCACTAGGAGACCGCCCTTGTACTCCAACAAGGCCTCAATGAGTGCATCCAGCGTGTCAATGTCAAGGTGATTGGTGGGCTCATCCAGCAGGAGCAGGTGCGGACGCGTGAAGGTGATCCAGGCCAGCACAACGCGTGACTTTTGACCGCCAGAGAGCGTGTAAATAGGCTGCAGCGCCTTATCGCCGCTGAGGCCGAGAGAGCCAAGGTGGGCGCGCAGTTGCTGGTCCTCCACGTGTGGAAACTTGGAGCGCATAAACTCAATAGACGACAGCTGCGGTGAGAGGGCCTCCAGGTGGTGCTGCGCAAAGTGCGCCACACGAATTTTTTTGTTGCGCACAACGTGTCCCTGGCGCGGCTCCAGCTTGCCGTAGCACACGTTCATGAACGTTGACTTCCCCGCCCCGTTGGCCCCCAAAAGACCCACGCGGGAGTTTTCATCGAGGCCAAAGTTGACGTCACGGAAAATCGTCTGGCCTGGCTTATACCCAAATTCACAGTCCACCATCTGCAAGTAGGCACCAGACACCATCTCAGGCTCGGGGAATTTGAAGGAAAACTGTGGATCGAACTTCACTGCCGCCACAACCTCCATGCGTTCAAGCATCTTAATGCGGGATTGAGCCATCTTGGCACGATTCGCGTTGTAGCGGAAGCGGTCTATAAACTTTTGCATGTGTGCCCGTTGCCGCTCCTGCGCCTCGTGGTTCTTTTGCTGTTGTCGCAGCTGCTCCACCCGCGTCAACTCAAACTGCTCGTAGTTGCCTGTGTAGTAGCGCAGCTGCCTTTCGTCGAGATGGATAATCTCCTGGCAGACGTTATTCAAGAAGGAGCGGGAGTGCGACACCACAACCAGCGTGCCGCGCCAGTCTTTGAGAAACTGCTCCAGCCACAAAACGGCGAAGAGGTCCAAGTGGTTCGTCGGCTCATCCAAGAGGAGGATGTCCGGCTCCACAAATAATGCGCGTGCCAACGCCACACGCATACGCCAACCACCTGAAAGATTCTTCGTGGGGGACGTCATCATCTCTCGCGAGAAGCTCAAACCATTCAAAATGGACGCCGCACGGGCCTCAGCACTGTGAGCCTCAATCGCATCCAGGCGTTCATAGACGTCCTTTAGCCGCGTGCTCGCCTCATCGTCGTTTTGCTTTAGCAGTTCCTGCTCTTCGCGTAGCAGCTGCTCGCGCTCAACGTCCGCGGCAAGAATGACCTGCAATGGGGTTTCGTTGCCTGCCACCACCTCCTGCTCCACATGCAAAATCTGCACAAAGGGACTCACGCCCTCCAACTCCCGTTCGGTGAGCGCGCGCAGGAGGGTCGTCTTACCCGTACCGTTTCGCCCAATAAGACCATACTTGTGACCAGTCAAAATTGTGAGATCTGTGTTGTCGAGTAAAACGTGCTTGCCCATGTGAATGTGAATATTTTCGCAGCGAATGTCACAGGAGTGGGATCCTCCCTCGTTCTTGTGGTGCAGTTTCACGATGGCTGTGGTATTGGCAATGCCTCGCTTGCGCAAGAATTCCTCGTACTCCTCAGCCATGATGGATTTCTTCTCCTCCTCCTTTCTTTTTCGGCGGGTCTCCTTCGCCGCGCTGCGCTTCGTCTCCCACGTCCAATCCGCATTCGTATTTACCACTGCAACCTTGCCAACGTTATTTATCATCGTCGCTTTCTTCAGGCTCTCCTCGTACTGCCGCCCAATACTGACCGCGTTCACCAGACGACTGACGTCCTCCTTTGGCTTCTGCGCCAGCCCCTTTGCCTCCATCTCACCGCAGATCGCCTCCACGGCCCTATTCACGGCTGCTTCAGTGGGGCAGACGGCGAATTCGGCGAGGTAGAGCTTGAGTGTGTGACGAATGGTCTCCTCCGGCAGGTACGATGCGGGGTTCATCTGCCCCTCGAGCATCTTCAACAGGTACTCGAGGACGCAGTCGTCCAGTTGCCGCAGCCCCACTTCTGGCACATTGTCCTGAAAAACCCGCACAACCGCCGGATGGCGGGCGTCAAGTATAGCCTTCACCTGCGCCAGGTCCATGGCAAACTGATTTTGACAGGCACCGTGGTCCCTTCCTTAGCTCGTTGTTAACTTCTTCTATAGAGCCAGCGGCAAAGACACGGCGCAAACGGAGAGAAAGGCGACTGAGAGGCAACTCGCATGCGCCAATACACAAACAAAAACAAAAGAAAAGAGAGGGAAAAAAAAAAAAGAGGGATGAGCCCTCCAGATATCCGCATGAGCCCGGCTTTCACATGTCTGCTCTCACTCTCCGCCCCCTCCAGAGGTGTCACAGGAGGAGCAACAACAGCGGCACCGACAACAAGTACCCCCCACTCTACATTTTCATAGTCAAGCCACGCTTTTCCAGCTCCGTCGTCCACTGTTCCTTCTCTCTAGAGTACAACTCCAGCAGTGCTCGGTGCCGCGCTTGAACCGACTCAAAATTTGACACTCGTTCAAGCTCTTGCCGCTCATCTTCGGCGGCGCCACCTGCCACGCGTTTACCACTTTTACCAGAAGACATCTGCAGCCGAGCACAAGCGCGCGCCTCCTCGTCCACCAGCCGCAGGCGTTCCTCTTGTACCACCTGGTCACGGATCGTAGCAAAGATATGCTCCGGCAAGTTGTCCCGACGCTTGCTAACATCGTGCATAGCCCCAAACTTGCCGCCTGGACGTACCCCTGAGATGTAGGAGTCACGGTCCTTACCGGTGGGGTGGTAGCGCATCCTTCCTTGCTGCCACTTTGGCTCCTGACCCAGAATGGAGAACAGAAAGAAGGAGGAGGGGGAGAAAGCAAAAGAATGCGGAGTAAGGCATTAGCAGGGAGAAGCCCCAATAGAGGCAAAGAAATTGACCCCACACCGCACACAGACAGACACAGAGAGAGAGACACACATAGAGACATAGAGTTTCAATGCATGCAGTAAATAATGGAATAATCATTTCAGTTCACTTATGCGTTTCACACGGAGAAGCTGCGGAGCCCAAGAAGGAGGTGGGGGAAAAAGAGTAGAGGGGGAGAGACAAGGAAAGAAGTGGAAAACAAAAAATTATTTGTACATCACTTTTTCTTTCCGTTCTTTACCCCGCCACTTTTGGCGCGTTGCAGTTGCCTCAGTCCAGGATGGAGCTGCGGCACAACTTTGCAAAGCTTCAGTGCATCGCACTCGTCAAGGTCAGCGTAGTAGTTTGGCACCTTCTCCACTACCTCAAAGCCAAAACTCTCGTAAAACTTCATCGCTGCAGATCCCACCTGCACATGCAGCGTTACCTCTCGGATGCAGAACTTGGTTTCGTTCGCCACATTCCTCAAGATGGTGTCGAGCAGGCGGCTACCAATGCCCAGCCGGCGGTATGGCGCAAGCACGGCAATAGTCATAACGTACAAGCTGTACTCATTTTCTTTTGATGTGCTCTCCAGACGACACGTGCAGCTACCAACAAGCATATCATAATAGAACGCGACTTGATTGTACTGATGGGTGCACGGCCGCACGTAAGTATCATAGTAGGAGTCCGAGTACTTGACGGCAAGACAGTACTGATCTAGGACGCGAACACGCTCAACCACGCGCGGGTCGTCAAGTGCTCGTATCTGCAGTCCCTCGATAGGGGGCAGCTCCTTACCCGCATAGCTACTTTGATTCACCGTGGCGTTATTGGCGATGACCATAACCTTTTTTCTTTTTTATCCTTCGTTTTTCTTTTTCTTTCACTTCCTCTTTCAGTTATGCTTCGGTAGTTTTTCTTAACCCTGCTCCCTTTGTTTGCTTGTGGTGGTTGCTGTGTGCCATTTAAAGAGGGATGTGAGAAGTCAGGGAAAATGTCACACAAGCGGCGTTTCTGTTTTGTTCTTCTTGCGTGTCGCCCATCCGCGGGAGCAGCGAAACCGGAGACCGCACGGGAGGCGCCGCGCGAGGGCCGCAGCGGGGCGGAAAAGGCCACCGACACCCCACCCCACCACCAGCGGTGAAGAAGTGCACAGCGAAGCACGCCAGCCACACGTGGGGAAAGTGCGAGGCAGTGAATCCCAGCAAAACGGCACCACCCGCGCCGCGAGGACGCAACAACGTTGGCGGTTGCCGCCCAAGCCCTCGCAGCTCTCCCTCTTCATCCGACTCAGTCACACACACACACACACAAACACTCCCTTGCGTTGTGCGCCGCAATGATGCGGCAGCTTCACTCGACAGCGCCGCCACGGAAGAGCAACTTCGCCGTGAGCCCCAACAATTTGCACCGCCGCCCTTGATTCCTACTCGGTTGTCATAACGCTCGCCTCATCAAGGGACTGACGCAGCTGGTTGAGAACATGATCCTCTTCCACTCGTCGAGCATCCTCCGCCATCTCAGCATACAACCAGTTCTTTAGTTCAACCGCAAGTTTTCCAATGTCCGTGGCGAGTGGTCCAACGTGGCGATTCGGCGTATCCTCCTTCACCTCGGCGTGGGCAGCGCTATGAGGCATGCCGCGAGTATCCACACCGGTGGCGGCAACGGCTTCACCATCCACGATGACCGCTTGTATCTCTACTTCCGTGTCATCTAACTGCGTCTCTTTCTGCACGGGGCGCAACGCCAGTGGTGGAGGCGGAGTCCGGTTCGTCGCTGATGCTTGCGAGACAGTTGCAGTCACAGTGGAGGCTATTTGTCGCTGCGCGCGCCGCAGCTGTTGACGCAAGTCGGCTATTTGGGCCTCATACACGGCCTTCAGGCGCTCGTTTTCCACCGCCATCGCATCCACGGTATTGTGCGAGTGCCTGTCAACCACACGAGCGCCGCGTTTAATTTTATCAAGACGCTCTTTCAACTTTTTTTCGTTATCTTCAGCTGAACTCAACAGCAACCGCAGCCTGTTCATCTCGTCAAGCTGGGACGTGATCACGCGTCTGGCCTCCTTCAATTGATCTCCAACCGTCTTATGGCGCGTGCGAAGATACTCATTTTCCTTCCGCAGCTCTTCTAGTAGCACCTCCGTTTCGTGCAGCTTACGCTCCAGAGAATGTGCTGGTGCTGGTGCTGGTACTGGTACTACTGCAGCAGCATTTGCTTTCGCTTCCATAACCGATGTCGGCCTCGCCTTCAACCCTTTTCCACTCCTTTCAACTCTCGACTTCACAAACGCCGTCTCCCGTGACAGCTGCGGATTCATTTTACCCTGCTTTTTCTGCTCTTGCTGTCTCAGAGACTCGTGCTGTGGTGGAAGATTGTCGCTGTTGCTGTGGCCGTCTTCGGACAAAGCCGGAATGTCTGCAGCGGCATTTTCTGGCGCTACACCCGTTCTTGTCGAAGGGCATCTGGGAGCAACTTTCTTCGAGGGCATGGGGCCCCCCACGCTGCCGGCAACGCCGCGTTGCGGGCGATCAGGCTCAGTGGTTAAGCAGCCTTCTGTTGGGGTTGCAGGGAGCGCAGGCAGTGGCGCCGCCTTGCTCGCGGGGGGGAAGCACGCCGCTGACAGCTCTAGTGGTGGCCGTGTTGTTGTCGATTGCCGCATTGCATTCGAGGCAGGCGGCTGCGACGCCTCGGCGCGCAGGAGCGGCACCCCGTCCAAGGAGAGCACAGCGGTCTGCAGGCGCGCCACAAGGGCTCTATACCCGTTCATGTTTGCCACCGGGTTCTCTCGCAGGGAAAGCATCTCCAACGATGGCGTGGACGCCAAAAAGTGAAGCTCGTTCGCGTTGTCTATTAAGTTGTGGTCAAGACTCAGGAGACGCAGTTGCGCCATGCTCTCAAGTCCAACTGTCGTCACAATACGGTTCCCTTCCGCACGGAGAACCTGCAGTGGCTGCGAGCGTGAGAGTCGCATCAGATTCTGAAGACGATTGTAACTCACGTTCAGGTCACGCAAGTGGGGCAGGCAGCCGATGCCCTCAAGCGACCGCAGATTGTTGTGCGACACATCCAGTTCCGTGATTGTGAGAGGGAGACAGCCGATCCCGGCAAGCTTATTATGGCTCGCGTTGAGCCGCGTCAGGGCCGTCAGTGCATCGAGCTGCTGCAGCTGCTCAATTTGGTTGTGGGAGAGGTCGAAGGAGGTGACGAGGGCGAGCATCTCCCTGTCCTCTCGGGTCAAGAAGACCGCGGCGAGGTCAATTTCCTTGATGTTTTTGCTCCGCCCAGACACGTGCATCTCCGCCGCGGAGGCCGCCGGCTGGACAACGGAGTACATCACCTACGAGCTCAGCCCCCCGCCCCCGAAGCGCGCATGAACTTTTTGTTTTTACTCGTGTTTTTGTTGTTGTTGTTTTTATTCATATTTTGTTTTCAAACGCAAAAAAGAAAAGAAAAACAACAACAAGGCAAAAAGAGAGCATGACAGGTACGCCGACGCCAACGCACGGAGCAGTCAGCCAGTTGCCCAAGCAATTACCTTCACTCTTTCGTCTGCTCTTCGCTTCCCCCGCCTCCGCCCTCCCGGTAAAAAGAACGTCAGCACCCACGACTCAAGGACGCAAAAGAGGAGGATGAGGCCGCGGCCCTAGTTGGTCCAGCTCACGCACGCCCGCCCGCCCGCCCGCAATCCTCGTATCACCCTCTTCCGTGTTTTTTTTCATCTCTATGATGGCGTTTATATGATCCACTTCGATACACACTGGCATCAAGTTTAATCATCTATAGGCGTCTGTCTACACCGGTGTCGCGGACGCCAAAAGGGCCGAAAGGTTACGCGCAAACGGTATCGCGGCGTCTTGCTCGCCGACACGTCGCACCTTCGCCGGCGTCGCGGAAACATCTTTCGTTGACGGGCTGCTTAGGGTGTAGGGCGGCCGCGAGTCCGCCCGGACAAACCACACCTCATCTTGCTCATACTCCATTTGCTCCAACAGACGATTTTTTATCACCTCCTTCGATGCACTCGTACGGGCACTTTTCTGCGGACGCCGCACCGGCGCCTGCAACTCCTTCCGCAGCTCCTTAAGTTCCCTCTGCAGCCTGTCCCTGTCTTGGGTGACGCTCAGGACAAGCGTTTGCATCGCCTCGCACACGTCATGGGCTCCTGCGGCTGGCTCCGACGCCGCGTAGAACGTGTCTTCTGCACCCTGCTGCATCAAAACCGCAGATTCCTCCTCGGCGCGGGCGTACCACGACTGGCGCCGCGTCAAAAGTTGTTCAACTTCTTCGGTTGTCTCCGCCTCGGCGATGCCAAAAGACGTACGCTCCGCCTCATGTATTGCAGCACAGAGTGACTTCCACTTCACCTCGCGCTCAATGGCCTTCGTTGCAAAACGACGAAGGTGAGTCTCTAGCTGGTGAACCCGCTGTCGCAGATTCTTCTCATTTGTGTGCAGCTCAGCTAGTTGCTGCTCAAATTGCCTCTGCCGCCTCTCCATCTCCGCCGCCAACTTGACCCCCTCCACGCTTGCGACGGACGTCGCGGCACCGGGCGACAATGGCGCGGGAGACGCCCCCTGCATGACCCGCATTTGCTTCGCTGTCGTATTCGGCGTTGACTGCAACTCTGCGGCTGCCTCAGTAATCCAGTTGTAGCTGCTTCCAGTAGCAGTTCTACTGCGTTGGTTGCAATTATCGTCGTCGTCGTCGTCGCCGCCGTTGCCTTCCAGCCGCTGCCACCCCACGGCGGCCAGGTCGCACGCTGTCACGAGACGTGTCTCTATCACGTGATACGCCGAGACAATGAGCCAAAGCCATCTCTGTGCATCGTGCCGCCTCCGTGGAGAATCCCGCAGGGCGTCCAAAAGGACGCCGTGCAGCGACGTGGCAGTTTCAAGTACATTGACGAGCTCACCTGTTTCTGTGTCCACCACATCTTTCAACAACTCCGCCGCAAAGGATCCCGAAGCAGGGGTCGAACCGCAACGTTCCTCTCTCGTCCTTTGAAGGATACGGCGTAGACACATCAGCTCCTCCTCTAGCATCGCCACCCGCCGTTGCTCCTCCTCCAGCTCTTGCATAGAGGCATTCTTTTCGTCAGACATGGACAAGGATAAGTTGACCGACGCCCCTGCGCGCGACTTCGCCAGTTGCGAGAGCAACTCCATTCTCTGTCCCTTAAGCTTTTCACATTCCTCCGACTTGGCAATGAGGGCCTGTTGAAGCTCCACCTCACGTTCCACTACGGATGCGCCCGGGAGGGTCCGTTCCCCTCTGGTCGCCTGGCTACTCCTGCTACTGGTACTGCAGCTGCGAGCCTTCTCAGTGACCTCCCCGCTCACAGTGTCTTCGTGGTTGCTCCCTCGCTTCCTCTTGTCCTGGTGGAGCGGCTGACGCGTGCGCCGCCTGCTAGCCAGCGCGTCGTTGGGTGCGTGCACCGGTTGCCCTGCCTTGTCCTCTGCGATCCGCGACTCCAGTGACGTGGCAGCCGTGTCAAAACTTAACTGCCGCTCGAACCGTTCCCCGTCATCCTCCTCGGAGACCTCCAACGAGGACGCCGCGACGCTCCCTTCTCTCCGCTGTGTCTGTCTGGAAGCAGGCCGACGTTTTCGCGCCATGGTGGCGTTGCGAATTGGCTCCTGCAGCTGCGGCGGCACGGCGGTAAGGGGCAAGGCACCACCCACCACAAGAGCCGCAATGGAGTCAATAGACTGCAGAAATTCTGTGAGTTGTTCCGACACGTCCGTTGCGAATTCCGCAGAGAAGTCGGTGCGTTTTGTCAAGTGGTAGAGAAAGTAGAAGAGAACCAGGGCCGAGAACCCCTTCTCCGCATCGCCGTGCTGAATCGCGGCCTGATCCAGCAGGTTGGGTGGAATGCCCACATCGTCCAGCGCGGAGCGCAAGGCCGCCCAATTTACCTGAGTGCGTTGCGAGGGAGTGTGCGTCTGTGGCGAGGCAGTGCGGATGCGCAGGTCCGGAAACACCAAGTTAAAAAGTCCGCACAGAACGACGCCATCGGCAAGGTCCGTGTAGTCCTTCAGCCGGCAAGAGGAGTATCGCTCAGCGAAGGCAAAGAGCTCGCGCCGGCCAATGAGAACACTCATTTCTCGTATTGTGTTTTTTTTTGGATTGGGTTTGCTATTTCTACTTATCTATAGCGTTCCTTCACCTTTTCGTCGTCTAGAGCTGTAGCTGTGGATGTGGATAGCGATGTCCCCGCGTACCTGTCGCCGCCGCGCGCTTAGGAACAGTTGAGCTCAGGCCAAGTTCCTCAGAAACCTGGAATCACAGCAGCGACACGCACGGCAGCGTCCAACACGACTCAGGCACGCCACCTACATGTGGAGCGGCAGCGTTGGTGCGAGTGTTCGCGACCACGGCGACAAAGAAAGAGGCAAAAAAAAAAAACAAGAAGAAAAATGCCGGCACGAAAGGGAAAAAAAAAGGAAACAGTACGACAGATGTCCTGCAATATATCCTGAGTCTGTCTGTGTGATTCAGGCGTCTCA